TCCAAGCCACGTCCACCTGGGAACTGGTGTTGGTTTTATTTTTTAATTTTTTTTAAGCCCAGAGTGCATAAAATCTTAATCAGCAGAATTTTTCAATACAAAATTAAAATATTGTAATTTCAGTGCAACAATTTTTCAGAACAGTAATATTTTGAAAGCCCCTATATTGGCATATCAATTATGTCGTTAGTCAATGGATTAAGAATGCCGTTTCAAAATGAATTAATTCATTTTTTTAGATTTGCATATAAACAGACAAGGAAAGCCTTTAAAGTCTGCAGACACAGCAACAGTATTTTCTACTAGAAATGTAACAATCACACCTGATGAACCAACTGTGCTAAAAAGGAACACACCAACAGCAGGAAGGCGTCCACGTGACATTCTCTCTAACATCTCAGTGGTCATCTTCAACAGTCTGTCTATATAAGAAGTCAAAATTGAGTCTTCTGATGATCTATGAATTACATTTTCATATTCCCAAGGATGATCTGATCAAATATTTTGCACTTTCATAAACCAGGCCTAATGGTTCTGGGTTCTCTAGACTGATTTTACAAGGTTTACAAAAGTAATAGAAGTAAGCATCTCTAGTGAAAAAATTTACAAGTTGAAACACATTATAAAAATTATCAGTTGTAAGCCCATGCTATTCAGTACTATTCATAGCACAAATGACAAACAATTCTATACTAATTTCCACATTGTATTTCAGTTATTTCTAGCCTATTCCTAATAATCTGAAAGATACTGAAGTTTGTAAACTTACTTTGTGAAGATTCCACACATTTATATCCTTAAATTCGGTGACACAATCACTCTGTCCTGTGAGTAGGCACTGCTGTCACACATTTTGCAGAGCATGCCTTCTGAACCACAGTTATTGAGAAGAGGAATTTCAGGAGGCAGAGTCAGGTAAGGAATTACTGCTTGGAGGCAGTAAGGTACCATGGGATATGTGGTTCTTAGAACTTGAGAGTAAACCAAAGGAGTCAGCAGAGAGGAGAAGCTGCAAAATATGCAGAAAGATGGCCAGCAGACAGGCAGCACTCACAACATGAAAGGAGATTTTTCAAGTAAGTTTGAGTATCAAAATGTTTGTGTTGGTGTTACAATGCTGATGTTATAAAATGAAAGTGTATGATGTCACTATAGAACTCCTTTAAATAGCTTACAATCCAAATAGCTAAATATATGTGTCCATTAATTTTTAATAACTTTCAGCGGATATAGAAATGACTGCGAAGATTGTCAAAGACTATAAAAAATGTATTAACTGCAGACTAAAAGATTTCACAGGCAGCACTTTAGCCAGCTTCATGTCATTGTGTTTTCTATTAGCCTCCACCCAAAAGGCAAGTAAAATATTCTACTAAGACATAGAAGAAGTATGTCAATTCTTTAAAGTTATTTTGTGGTGAATTGGAATGATACTCTGCACTGCACAGCGTAAATTGTGATGCACAATACCATTCCATCTACCATTCCAAGATCACCTTCAAGAAAGGATGTACTGTACTTATCTTTGTGAAAAAATAAAAAAAAAACACAGGGGATCTCTCGTGTGTCACACACGTGCAAAGCAAAATGTGAAATATTAAGGTAATGGCATCTGAAGGAACAGGGATATACAGGGTATAGCCTAATTAACCGTTTCCCCTGCATAAAACACCTCTACTGTAAGATACCACCAAGACCCCATCACAGGATATCACCAGTGTGTGGCATCTTTGGGAGAACACATAAGAACATAAATCTAGATTTCACCACAGTACTCTACAGGCAATTTGGCCTGTACAGAAGGAGGAGTGAGACTATGTGGGGATGAGATTACTTTGTCATGCTCCCACTTAAAATAGCTGTAGATAAGAAATATGTCCCTGTCCATACTGGGAAGATTCACATTCACTAGTGGTCCTATTGACCAATGCCACCAGCACAGAAAGTGATGGGAAATCCAACATTTTGTGATTTTGCCTCAAGAAGAACAAAGGAAGATCTTTCATTTGGAAACCTGTTCTAGTGACAACCTTCTCAGACGGTTTACAGGCAGTTATCGAATTAAGGCCCCACATTTTGTTCTATCCACTATATGCTGTCTGTAGCCCAATATTAAAGTGGAAATAAAGGCAAACCCTAACTAATTCTAAGTCCTCATGCACACTGCACATTTAAAAAAATAAATAAAATTTTGGCTAAAAAAAAAAAAGCTAAACACTGGTTTGCAGTGTTTTACTGCATTTTACCAGCATTAGAGCATTTTACAGCTACAGAAACTCTAGAAAACCACTAGTTCTGGGGGTTTTTTTCCTGCCAAAAAATGCTGATTAAAGCCCATGTGTGCATGGACACATAGGATAACATGCTGGGGAGTTTACTGGCTGTAGAAAAAAAAAAAAAAAAAAAAAAAAAAACACCAAAAGCCAAAAACAGCAGCTGTAAAAACGTCCAGTGTGCATAAGGACTAAACCTACTCTCAGTCACATTCTAAGCCTGATCTATCTAACCCGGCTTCAGTGTGTAGGTGAGGCAGCCGACAACGGAAGCCCCATAGTAACTTGTGATGTGGCTGAGAGTGTGTTTTAGAGTTAGTTAGGTTTTTGCCTTTATTTTCACTTTAAATGTAACTTTTCTTAGAAGCTATTGCATAATTATTTCTCCAGCTTCTTTTTTTCTGAACTGCAACAAGGAAAATTAATTAAATGGATATTCTTCAAATTAAAGGTTTGGCTATGTCGTTATAACCTAAAAACTCTTGTAATGGGTGTGATGATACAAAAGAAAGAACATAAAACTAAACTTAAAAAAAAGTTTTGTTGTAAAAAGGAAGTGTAATTGCTTAAAAATGGTGTGTTGTTGACTGTTGTTGGCTATGTTCTCATATTCAAATCCAATTGTGATTGCTGGTTATGGATTATATAAAAAGGGACAAGGCAGGGTGGCAGAAACCAATAAATTACCTAACAGTGATGACCTCACTCTCCACCTCTACCGGGGAAGAGGTCACATGTGTGCATTTAATTCTTAAGGTCACAAGAAATCCTAGTACAGACAGCCTCTGGCAACATGTTCCTGTGTCAATTGTTTTTGGCATGAGTATTTGGACACTGCTTTTAATTAAATGCAACTTGTATATTGACATGGAAATAATATATTCAAAGCAAAATTTTCTGAATTGGGGTCTCATGACAATATATTTCTCAAGGCAATACAAACCTGCTTTGCTAAAAAAAAAAAAAAATTATAATTTTAGAGAGCTTAACCGTTCAGGCCTAAATGTACATCAATAACTGAATGATAAGTGAGCACTTACTGATCCACCTCCCTTCTGCTCTATCCAAACTGCTTCATAGGTTTCATTAGGAGAGCAAAGGTCTGAAAGTGAATAGCCCCTGCTCTGTGTTCTCTAAGAAAAAACTGTACTACTCTCTGAAGGTCATGGGTATATGATGTAATGAATGCATATCGTAAAGATTTTTTATTAACAGAAATAAAACATAAAAAAAGAAAAAAAAAAAAAAAAACATTATTATGAAAGTTTATCATTAAAAAAAAAATTACATATATAAAAAGCTTACCCTGTACTGTTATAGCTTCTTTAAGGTTACGGCCCAGAAAGCATTTTTTGATAAACGAAATGGGTAAAATAAAGGGGGAAGGTTAATCTTGCCCAGAGATGGGCTGGAGTGTCAATGGTAACTTTAAGAGGTGGGTAAGGGTTTTTTAAAAATAATGCTACATCAGGTTAAACATAGGTTTAAAATGATAAAATATTTGTGGATATTTAACTTGTTTTTGGGTGTAAAAAGAAGTGCACCTTACTAGAGTAAATAACCATTGTGCTTAGAGATGAGCGAATCGAACATGGCGAAGTGGAATTCGTTTCGAAGATCAGGAAAAATTCGATTCGCGCCGAATCCGAAAATTAGCAAACTTCGGATGCACGAATCGAATTTTCCCAAAAATGGCGGCGACATGTGTGGCGACGGAGCGGGGATCTCTGGGAAGGCGCGCTGACCCATAATGCATTCATTCATGACATGTGATCGCATTAGCCAATCAGCAGCCAGCCAGCCAGCACTGTGTAATGGTGGAGCTATAAATTGCGGCCATCTTACAATTCTCCATTAGCCTCCGGTCATTCAAGAGAGACAGACCTGTCTGTATTAGGGACAGAGTTAGGGCCACAGAGACTTTAGGGACACAGAATCGTTACTCAGGGACAGACACAGAATCGTTACTCAGGGACAGACACAGAATCGTTACTCAGGGACAGACACAGAATCGTTACTCAGGGACAGACACAGAATCGTTGAATTAAAGAGTATGTCAGACAACACGCAGAGGAGTGGCAGAGGAGGCAATGTTTCAGGAGCGAGCAGACGTGGCAGCAGAGGAAGGGGTCGAGGCAGCACTAGTCGCAGCCAGAGGCCAGTGCTCCCGATGTCATCCAGCGGTCGTGTCTCCACCGACAACCCTGCCGTCATCGATTGGTTGACTCGGTCGTCTTCCTCTTCCCAGGTCACCTCTGACACCTACAGCCAACGGTCGGTGGGTACGTCAGACACAACCGTTAGTTGGCATGGCCCGGGAGCAAGCCCACTGAAATCACGTGTCCTCTACCTGCCCCTGTCCTTTGGTGTTCCCTCACCAAGCGAAGTATTGCATGCTGTGGGCTCAGCCCCACTGTACAGTGAGGAAGAGCTAACAGAGGGCGGTCAGGAACGGGGGGAGACATCCGCCTCTTCAGCAGCCAGGCGAAGAAGTACTGGCGAGGAGAGTGGCTCGGTAGCCGGTCTAGAGACAGGTCTGTCTCCTGACCCACACGCAGCCGAGGGGGCTAGTAGTGAGGCGGAGACCCTAATTGATGATGATGAGGCTGATCGCACTTGGCAGCCTCGTCGTCATCTGCCAGGCCCGTAATCTGCCATGGGCCCCCGTACCGACTCCTCATGCTGCTGCCAGGCCCGTAATCTGTCATGGGCCCCTGTACCGCCTCCTCATGCTGCTGCCAGGTCCAGAGTGTGTCATGGGTCCCTGTACGGCCTCCCATTGCTGCTGTCTCCATCGCCACACACTCTGCCATGTGCCACTTTCAGGTCTCCTCACACTGCTGGTGGGTTCCATTTTGTCATAGGGGGCTGGCAGATTACGGGCCTCCCATTGCTGCTGCCAGGTCCGTAATCTGCCATGGGCCCCCGTACCGACTCCTCATGCTGCTGCCAGGCCCGTAATCTGTCATGGGCCCCTGTACCGCCTCCTCATGCTGCTGCCAGGTCCAGAGTGTGTCATGGGTCCCTGTACGGCCTCCCATTGCTGCTGTCTCCATCGCCACACTCTGCCATGTGCCACTTTCAGGTCTCCTCACACTGCTGGTGGGTTCCATTTTGTCATAGGGTGCTGTATGGCCTCCCATTGCTGCTGCCTCCTCCGCCACACTGTGGCTCCACACTCTGGTTTTGGCCCCGTGACTGCCCAAATGAGTGAAGTGTGCGGTGATTCTAAGATCGACGGCACTCATCTGCATGTCATACTGACTGACAGTATTATTTCTCTTCCCCAGCAGACTCCAAGGGCATTTAAATTAAAGGTACAGTGTTCTGCACTAATATAAAGGCTCTCTGAAGCCTAGAAACACACCCTTTTTATAAGTTAAATTTGCAGCGAATATATTCGACTCGAATCGAATTTATTCCGCGAATTCGCCGAATCAGCCGAATCGAATTTTTGAATAATTCGCTCATCTCTAATTGTGCTAATGAGAAAGCGGCGTGTACCTTACTTACAGGGGAAGAGTATGCCTAAAGCCTGGTACACACTACTAGTTTTTTTTTTGCGTTCAAGCTGAAAGAAAAAAAAAAAAACTGACACCTCAGGAGGAGCAGCTTTACTAACTATCTGATGTTAGTACAACGATCTCCCCCTGCTGTGCTATTGTGTTCGGACAGGGGGGGATCTCAACCATTGGCTGAGAAGGCCGATTGGGAGCCGATCGGCAGACCTTTTTCAGCCATGCCTATTCGGCCAGCTTCTGTTGGACCACCTGCAGAATACATGGGTTGAATTTCGGCCGCATTCTATTAAACCGGCCAAAGCCACCCACCACTCTCATAGTACCCCCCCATAAAATGCAGTACATTATCAATGTGTTTTAGCAAACCCCATAACGGTGAGAATATGGGAATGCAAGCAGTCATAGCAATTACTAAACTAGTCTGTAAGACTCCAAGAAATGTGTCACCCCATACAGTTATGGGGGGAAAGAAAGATGCACCCCCCCCCCAAAAAAAACAGCCTAAACAAATGTGGAGAGACCTTGAGAGGGTGTTTAAAAAAAAAAAAGGGGGGGACCAAATAAGTTCCAGTTTTGAAATTGAAAATAAAAACAAATCAAGGTAAGTATTGGGTTGTCTGCAAACAGAAAAGCTTTAGATCCCCAAACTTTAATTACAAAATATTATAGTTTGAATTCTTAAAAGGATGAAAGCTAGATCAATAAAAAATGCTGATGACAACTGGTAGTCTTTCTCAAATGGATGCTGGTTTTGAGAAAGGAAGTTAGAAGACCTTGGGGAAGGATTAGAGGACATTCCGGGAAAGACAGCTTTTACTTTGCTTTTCAATTAATAAGTTTAAAGTGGAACTACAATATATTGAGCAACACAAACTAAAAGCAATATTTAATAAATTTTTAATATTCAAAAGTTAATTCTCCCATACATGTCCCCATGCTTTATTTTGTCTAGAAATCACTTTGAAAAACACCCTCTAGCAATCTCAGCTGTGACCATCTTGAGTAAGGGCAGATGATTAATGTATCAATTACTACCTGAAATCCATTTGCCCTTAGCTCAGGCAAACAGGAAGGAGGGTGTGCTTAGCTGAGAAAACCTCTCCTCCCCCCTGAAGACTCCTGAGATGTATGACAACATATGCCCAGGCCTGGAAACCAGGAAGTAATTAAAGAAATATAAAATAAAACTGTTAAAAACAAGTAAATATGATATACTTTCAGATTTATGAATGTTAGCAGCATAAGATTTACAAATAGTCAATGTTGATTGACAGAGCAAAGTTCCATTTTAAATAGTACCCCCACAAAATACATAACAGTTTGTAGAGGTGAAAACCCTGATTTCATAGGCCAGTCTGTAAAGAGTTTACTGTACTGGCTATAATAAATCTTTCAGACCTAGTTCACATATATGCAAATTGGAAACATTTTGAACTGCATCAGATTTGCATGACATGCGAACCTGCAGCCTTTTCTATGGAGCCAATTCAAATATGTGCAGGCCGGCTGCAGCGCAATATCAAAGAGAGTCCAGTTCAATTTTCAGACCAGTTCTGGTGCAATTTCCAATGTCATACACTTTAAGAATCTGCATTGAAGTCGCACCTGAAGCTCTGAACAAAAAAAAAAAAAAAAAAAAAAAAAAAAAAAAAAAAACACACCAGATGGGGCTGAAATCACAATGTCAAAACTATCTCCCATATATGTGAACTCATGCCTATACACAACATACAAGGGGCAACAGACTGATTTCAAGTCAATTTCAGTTACTTTATTGGCCCTAATATGTGTACGTATGCAATTGAGGTAGGGATCTTAGATTGTAAGCTCCTTGAGGGAACTGATGTGAATGTACAATATATGGAAAAGCATTGCATAAATTGACAGCGCTATATAAATACCTGTAGTGAAAAAATACATAAAGAGCACCTGTTAATTCTATGCAAAATAACCACATATATACAGGTGGACAAATCTGTATCAGTGAATAACTTTAAAATCACTACTCTGTATATTTGTAAATTTTGACCATGTGAGATGGTCGGGCCACTAAACATTTCCAGTTTTCCACAGCAGCTTCCATTCTCCATGATATATTTCTTCTCCCTTCCAACACTGGTTACCAGACCAGCAACTCTTGTGTGATCTTCCCAAACAGGCTCCTAGCTGTCAAAACAGTTTAGTCTTGGCAGAATGCAGGAGTCTGAAAGGGATAGGTTTGCTGCAGTTATGTAACATTACCCACTTTAAAAAGTGTTCCATGAAAGTTTCAAGGTAGAGCTTAACCCTAACTGGATGACATTTAGCCTGTGAAAGAATCGCACAAAATTAAAAACTGCCAGGTTTCTTTTATAAAATACTGTTTTTCACCAGTTTTTCATCATTTTGTTTTTCAACCTCCTATATGGGCAAACAGTTACTGTAGAGCAGGAACAATCAATGAACTGTGAGGTCACTCACCAGGTCATTGGGAACTACAAGCAGTATGTTGCAGTGGCAGACAGGAGTTGTAGTTCATTCATTCACAGATGGCTGTGAATAAATGACGCAGCTGTGTGAGTGAAGCCCCACACAGCCACACTTTGTTTAAATTGTGACAGCGGGTGCGGGAAGACTGCTTCCTTTAGTAACATGTTACAACCTGTTACAGGTGTAACGTGGCTAAAAGTGAACTTAGCCTTTAAAGTCCAAAATGCAAGTTTATGCCAATGTAAAATCTGGTGGAAGACTGTACAAAAAGTCAACACACTTTGGGGAGCAAAATCTAGCCCCCTGAATCGGGGCTAAAACATATAACACAAAGGATATATAGATTACTGTAATGAATGGTTGTCCAAAAAATTACAGCAATCTACTTATTCTTTGTGTAATTTTTTTTATTTTTTTTTCCACATAGACCCCAGAAATGTGTTGGCTTTCTTGTACAGTTTTCTATATGATTTTACATTGGAATAAACGTGTATCTGGACTTATTGTGAAGCTGCACTTCAATAACAGATCTACCTATTTGTATCAAAGTCTAAAGCAACTGTGAGAATCCTTTGGTGTGTGGAAGCTGGCAGCTCCGTATCTAGCTACCCTCCACATATACCATTTCAGGACTATTGAATAGCAACACCAACAGGATAATTCTGCATTTCCAGCACTACCTATCCCTTCATCCATCACCAGTGCCTCAGACAACCAGGAAATAAGCATCAATTTAAGTAAGAACAAGACAAAATGTGTTTTATCTAATGAATGTAAGATTTCATATCAGTATGTATAAATGCAGGAGGATATGTTTTTTAGTTTAAAAAAAAAAAAAAAAAAAAAAAAAGGAGGGGGGGGGGGGGGGTGTCAGCTTTAAGTCCAGTTTTGTGCTGACAACACACAGGGTTTTTTTTTAGTCTATATGGTGTCAGCCCTGCCCAGTGTCTTTTCCTGAACTGCTCAGCCACTCCCACTCTCAGATCTACAACATAAATGCTAATAATACTGAAGTCCAATATAAGAATAGGTGAGCTAAATATCCTCTTTGATATAACACAGGAAATGTGCAGAAAACACAGGAAAGATCTGAATTTCTAAAAGATCAACCATTTTTTTTAACTTCCAGCAGTAACAAAATATTAATAGTTATTATATAGTATTAATAGTTATTATTTATATATAGTATTAATAGTTTTTTATATATATTAATAGTTATTAATTATATATACAAGCCCCATTAATAGTTATTAAAAAATTTATAGTAACAAAAATGCTTTCAATGGTATATTTAAAAACAGACAAAAACAGGAGCATGTAAGATCATTTCATTCCTAGGGTCTACATATACATTATGCAGACAAAAATTACAAAATGATCTGGATGATGGTCTTTATAATACTCATATCAACATTGCATTCATTGACATCTACAACCAAAATAAAACCCCATATAATTTGGTTTGGAAGATGAAAAAAATAAATCCCATTGGAAAGAAGGAAAGAGGCTCAGACCCCACCTTCATAAAGCAATTCCTCCCAGGGACACCAACCATGGGGCCGCAATTCCTCCCAGGGACACCAACCATGGGGCCGCAATTCCTCCCAGGGACACCAACCATGGGGCCGCAATTCCTCCCAGGGACACCAACCATGGGGCCGCAATTCCTCCCAATGACACCAACCATGGGGCCGCAATTCCTCCCAATGACACCAACCATGGGGCCGCAATTCCTCCCAATGACACCAACGATGGGGCCGCAATTCCTCCCAATGACACCAACGATAGGGCCGCAATTCCTCCCAATGACACCAACGATAGGGCCGCAATTCCTCCCAATGACACCAACGATGGGGCCGCAAATTCCTCTTAATGACACCAATGATGGGACACCATTTCTCCCAATGACACCAATGATGGGACACCATTTCTCCCCAATGACACCAATGATGGGACACCATTTCTCCCCAATGACACCAATGATGGGACACCATTTCTCCCCCAATGACGGGGCACCATTTCTCCCAATGACACCAACGATAGGATGCCATTTTTCCCCATTGACACCAACGATGGGGTACCATTCCTTCCAATGACTCCAGCGTCGGGGCACCATTCCTCCCAAAAACACAGACAATGGGGCACCCTTCCTCCCAATGACACCAACAATGTGGCACTATTCCTCTCACTGACACCAAATATGGAGCATTGCTAACTCTCATTAGCCTCAGTCCGGCCTGCCAAAATGTCTGAAGGACAGTAAACTGGCACTTTGCTCAGAAAGTTTGGAGATCCCCGCTTTAAACAGATGGCTAGAAATGTAAAATACTTACAGTTTCTGGATCATTCTCGAAGACTTCCCTTGCCTCCTCTTTGGTGCACTGTTCCTCTATACATTCCCGTTCTAAGTGGCCTTGCTTGGTTTCTTCAAACAGATGGTTAGCCCTCTTGTGTCTTTGGTGCAAAAATTGCACAGCTTCCTTAGCAGGCAACAAGACTGCTGTAGCCAACAAACAAAAAAAAAGAAGAAAAAAAAGAAGATTGTTAGTACATTAATAAAATATTTCCAGAAGCATGTAAATAAAATGACTAAAATGACGTATAGCAAACAGAAATCATTCAGCCATTGGTATTTACCTGCAGGGGAAAGGGGGTCACTCATTAAGAACAGCTTGTTTCTTTTTAGAAGTTTAACAAATGTTTATTTTTGCATTTTAATAATAAATCATACAAATATAATAAATATAGGAAAACCTACCTACAAAGGAGAAGCACAACTCGACACACATCAGACAAAATACATACAAGCACAAATGCGCTCTGTCACAAACATACTTTTGTGAGCTTCAAATGGGTTCCTGTCATAGAGGCCCCACTAAAGGGGAGAAGGACCCCAAAAAATGTCTTAGCGATCACACTAATAAAGGCTAACCACCAGTTAGACCATATGGACGCTTATTAAATATGAATGACTGGCCCACCCCATATGGCAGCCTGTCAGCTAAAGGTCCTCTATTGAGTTTGGCCATTTACTTCAAGCAACCTTACAGGAGCTCTATGTCTATGGACTTTTAGCCCTTCATCATGTTCTACTGAACCCTAATCTGCAAGGTAGAACTGTCTCTGTCTACATGGCCATCTGGTGTAAAGAGATACACACTTGCACACACCTCTCAAAAAAAATTAAAGGAACATTTTTTTAATCAGAGTAGAGCATCAAGTCAATTAAAACTCCTGGGATATTAATCTGGTCAGTTAAGTAGCAGAGGGGGGTTGTTAATCAGTTTTAGCTGCTTTGGTGTTAATGAAATTAGGTACACTAGATGGGCAACAATGAGACGACCCCCAAAACGGGAATGGTTTTACAGGTGGAGGCTATTGACATTTTTTTACCTACTCACCTTTTCTGACTGTTTTTCACTAGTTTTGTATTTGGCCAGGGTCAGTGTCACTACTTGTAGCATGAGGCAATACCTGGACCCTACAGAAGTTGCACAGGCAGTCCAATTCCTCCAGGATGGAACATCAATACGTGCCATTGCCGGAAGGTTTGCGGTTTCTCCCAGCACAGTCTCAAGAGCATGAAGGAGATTCCAGGAGACAGGCAGTTACTCTAGGAGAGCTAGACAGGGCAGTAGAAGGTCCTTAACCCATCTGCAGGACTGGTATCTGCTTCTCTGTACAAGGAGGAACAGGATGAGCGCTGCCAGAGCCCTGCAAAAATGACCTCCAGCAGGCCACTGGTGTGAATGTCTCTGACCAATCAGAAACAGACTTCATGAGGGTGGCCTGAGAGCTCAACGTCCTCTAGTGGGCCCTGTGCTCACTGCCCGGCACCATAGAGTTCGATTGGCATTTGACATTGACCACCAGAATTAGCAAGTCCGCCGCTGGTGCCCTGTGCTTTTCACAGATGAGAGCAGGTTCACCCTGAGCACATGTGACAGACGTGACAGGATCTGGAGAAGCCACAGAGAATGTTATACTGCCTGTAACATCGTTCAGCATGACCGTTTTGGTGGTGGGTCAGTGATGGTCTGGGGAGGCATATCCATGGAGGGATGCACAGAACTCTACAGATTAGAGAATGGCACCTTGACTGCCATTAGGTACCGGGATGAAATCCTTGGACCCACTGTCAGACCCTACGCTGTTGCAGTGGGTTCTGGGTTCTTCTTGGTGCACAACAATGCCCGGCCTCATATGGCGAGAGAGTAAGCAGGCAGTTCCTGGAAGATGAAGGAACTGATACCATTGAATGGCCCCCAAGCTCACCTAACCTAAATCCAATAGAACACCTCTGGGATATCAAGTTTCAGTCCATCCGACATCCGCCAGGTTGCACCTCAGACTGTCCAGGAGCTCAGTGATGCCCTGGTCCAGATCTGGGAGGAAATACCCAGGACACCATCCGTCATCTCATTAGGAGCATGCCCTGACATGGTCAAACTACGGAGCATCATTTTGAGTTGCTGCAATTAAATTTCAGCAAAATGGACTAGTCTGCATCTTCATTTTTTCACTTTTTTTCAGGGAGTCTTTGAAAAATGATCAACCTACAGAGGACTGAATTCAAAACGATGGGGCATCCTTACATTCCAAACACAAAACCCAGTCCACATCAGTATAGATATCCAGCATGATATTTTTCCCCATTGAGATCTGATGTGTTTTCAAAGCGGTCCTTTAATTTTTTTGAGCAATGTATATACACACACACACAAACTATATTGCCAAAAGTATTGGGATGCCTGCCTTTACACGTATATGAACTTTATTGGTATCCCAGTCTTAGTCCGTAGGGTTCAATATTGAGTTGGCCCACCCTTTGCAGCTATAACAGCTTCAGCTCTTCTGGGAAGGCTGTCCACAAGGTTCAGGAGTGTGTCTATGGGAATGTTTGACCATTCTTATAGAAGCACATTTGTGAGGTCAGGCACTGATGTTGGACGAGAAGGCCTGGCTTGTAGTCTCCGCTCTAATTCATCCCAAAAGTGTTCTATTGGGTTGAGGTCAGGACTCTGTGCAGGCCAGTCAAGTTCCTCCACCCCAAACTTGCTCATCCATGTCTTTATGGACCTTGCTTTGTGCACTGGTGCGCAGTCATGTTGTAACAGGAAGGGGCCATCCCCAAACTGTCCCCACAAAGTTGGGAACATGAAATTGTCCAAAATGTCTTGGTATGCTGATGCCTTAAGAGTTCCCTTCACTGGAACTAAGGGGCCAAGCCCATTCCTGAAGAACAACCCCACACCATAATCCCCCCTCTACACAAACTTTGCACTTGGCACAATGCAATCAGGCAAGTATCATTCTCCTGGAAACTGCCAAACCCAGACATGTTTATCGGATTGCCAGACAGAGAAGCGCGATTCATCACTTCAGAGAACACTGCTCTAGAGCCAGTGGTGGCGTGCTTTACACCACTGCATCTGACTATTTGCATTGCACTTGGTGAGGCAAGGCTTGGGTGCAGATACTCGGCCATGGAAACCCATTCCAAGAAGCTCTCTACACACTTTTGTTGAGCTAATCTGAAGGCCACATGAAGTTTGGAGGTCTTTAGCTATTGATTCTGCAGACAACTGGCGACTTCTGAGCAGCATGAGCGGACCCCGTTCTGTCATTTTACGTGGCCTACCACTTGGTGGCTGAGTTGGTGTTATTCCCAGTTGCTTTCACTTTGTTATAATACCACTAACAGTTAACCGTGGAATATTTTCTAACAAGGAAATTTCACAAATGGACTTATTGCACAGGTGACAACCTATCACGGTACCACACTTGAATTCACTGAGCTCCTGAGAGCGACCCATTCTTTCACAAATGTTTGTAGAAGCAGTCTGCATGCCTAGGTGCTTGATTTTATACCATAGCTAAACTAGATCATGAACACAGAGCCGAATACCTGTGTGTGCTTTCATCACCTTTAAAATTCTTGTATATTTATTTGCTATAAAGCATATCCAGTAAAACTTAAAAAAAAAAAAAAAAAAAAAAAAAAATCACATTTCATCATAAATTTATGCCAGAATGTATTCTGCTATATGTCTTTGCTAGAAAAAAAATCCCAATATATGTAAATTAATTGGTTTACGTGAAAGTTATGGCATCTACAATCGGCCGTACATATACTGGAATTTTGTTTTCTTTTTTAATACTAGAAATGGCGGGGATCAGCGACTTACAGCAGGACTGCAGCGGGCATTCTGACCCGGGGTGACACCAATAGTGACACCAATACAGTGATCAGTACTAATAAATAAAGCACTGACACTGTACTAATGATACCGGGCAGAAAGGGGGTTAACATCTGGGGCGATCAAGGGGTTAACGGTGTGCTATTTGATGTTGTACTATGTGTGCTGTATGTGTTTTACTATGTAAACCAGCTGCTCTGTATTGCTCTGCTATGAGAGTACAGACAGGGGAGAGATTGGGGTAGTTTACACACAGACCTCTCCCGTCACTGTTGCTCCGTGATCGCTGGGTGCCGGTGGGGAATCTCTGGCTGGGACCCGGTGATCGACAGCTGTAGCTGCCAATGGCAGCACAGTTAGTGCGGTGCACGTGCATGCCCCCTACACGGAAATGCAAAATCATGTATGTATAGCCCTGCCACCCTATAGAAGTAGTTCCGCTATAGGGCAGCAGGGAACCAGTTAAGACAATCTAAATGCTGGGAGGTGGGCATTCCAATCATGTGATCTCTGTGATTGGCTGTCAAAGTATCTATTGGGAGCTCCCTGTGACATCTCAGTAAAGCTGAATTTCAGTCCATGCGTGAGCAGGCTCACTGTACACAATTCGATCTATTGATTGACTTTCGTACAACCAGCCTGTGGGGGTTTTTTCTGGTGGCTGACTGTTTTGATGGGGGAATAGATCAATTTTCTTTCTTGCAACCCATGGTGGAAGAAAAGAAAATTGCATTATCTATGGGCTTCCTTATGCAGGCCATACATGGTTCGAATTCCAAACGATTTTCATACGAAAATCAGACCTAAGAATAATCGGCCGATTTTCGCTCTGTTAGTGGGGCAATGGCATCGGCCGATTTTCGTGGTTCCTCCTCATTTTGTTTATGGGGCATGCTGGAAAATTTGTGAAAAATTACCAATTTTCAAAATCATTGGTGGCACCATCGGATTACAGAAAGAACGACGTTTCGATTCTTGGACAAAAAATCGTTCGGAATTTGATCCATGTATGGCTTTACATTAGTCCCTGTTCACACCTGTGTTTTGGTGTGCTTTGGCTGCCACATGGCAATGCACAGTAAGAAGAATCTCATTACGGTCTATGGGGCCTGTTCACACCCGAGCAATGCTCTTCCAAGTGACTTAGAAAAAAGTGCACATTTGGGGGCCGTAGCAGTCGCTACCTGCCTAAGAAGGGGGCTCTTTGAGGCCCTGAAATATTGCTTGCTATTATAGTGGCAAACAAAAGATCCATTTGTTATTGATGGTGTGCCGGTCATCACTTTACCTTGGAAAAGGTGCAGGTACTTCTTTTGGTGTACATTTGAAAACACACATCAAAACTCATGAAAAGCATATTAAATATAAACACATAAAAATGCACATATGTGAACAGAGCCAAAACCGGCCCTAGTACAGGTCTGCATATATATATAGGCATGTGAGGTAGGTGGGATTGTCAGCTCCTTGATGGCAGAGACTGATATAAATGTACAGTATGTATAAATAAATAAAGCTAAATAAATAGAAAAAAAAAAAAAGCAGATACACAATTAAAGAAGCTAAATAGAAACAGAACAAAATAAAAAATAATATAAATTAAAAAAATGTACATAAATAAGCTAAATAGAAAAAATAATAAATAAGCCAAATAAAAGAAAAAAAAAAAAAAAAAACCAGATAAATAAAAGGTAAATATAAAAAATACATACATAAATAAGCTAAATAAAGAGATTTTTTTTAGATATGATACACAAATACGTGAAACAATAGAAATAGATACATAAATAATAGATAAGCTAAATAAATAGAAAAACAAAAAAATAGATACATAAATAAGCTAAATAAATAATAGATAAGCTAAATAAATAGAAAAAAAGATAAACAACAAATAAATAGAAAAAAAACAAACAATAGATACATAAATAAGCTAAACAGAATTAAAAAAAAAAAAATATATATATATATATATATATATATATATATGATATATATAAATACACTAAATAAAAGAGAAAAAAAAAGCCTAAATAAGCAAAGTAGAAAAACAATAGATAAATAAATAAGCTAAAACAAACAGAATTTGTTTTTCAGATAGAAAAAAAAATAAGTGATACACAAACAAGATAGATAACTGGAAAAAATAATAGATTCATAAATAAAAAAAATGAATGATACATAAATAAGCAAAATAAGACATTATTTTTGTTTTTTAAATAGAATAATAAAAATAGATAATAGGATAAATAAGCCAGGTGAAGTGTGGGACTAGTGAACATCTGAAAGGTTATGAATCTGAAATGACAAGAACATTCCCACTCCTCCTGATGTGTTGCACATCACACAGCTGGAAGGTAAAGCCCTCCAGGGGCTCCAGGACAAAGTTTGAGGTGAGTGCCCTGTGCCTCTCCAGGTGAAACAAGCCCAGTAGTTGGTGTCCCTTTAATTCCCATGTGTAGAGATAAGCAGGCTGGGTGAAGCAATCATGGATCCTGCTGACAAAGGCCAGCTCCGTCACCTTCATCCATTAGCATGACAAAGCCCCCAGGACCCCGTACTGGCAGCGTGACCCCGAAGCCCCGTGTGTGAAGAGGAGTCACCTGGGGGCACAGGGCGAGGTATAAACAAGCGGCACATGGAGGGGACGAGGAATGGAGAAGGAGGCAGCAGGAAAAGTGTGCGGATACTCACTGGCGTGTGTGCATTGTGCAGCCAGCAGGGTGAGGAGCAGGGCGGCAGTCAGGGTGGATGTGCTCGGCATGTCTGTAGAGCCGGGCAGCGGTAGAGCTGTGTTGTTGCTCCTGTAGACGGACAGAGCTGGAGGTGCCTCCTGCAGCAGCAGCTCCTGGCAGAGAATAGCATTCACAGGCAGTAGCAGACACGGCGGGGGAGGCTCCCTCCCTCCCAGTCATTTGATAAAAGTTTGCATACATCAACAGACACACCTAGATGAGTCTGACAGGCTGAGGGAGCAGGAGAGTGCACTACACAGGAGCGCTGAGGGAGCGGGAGAGTGCACGGTACAGGCGGCCGCCAGCACACACTCCAGGGGCTCTCTTACCACACACTGCACATGGGGGAATTCACCAAGACTGGAGCGCTGAGGGAGCGGGAGAGTGCATGGCACAGGGGGGTGCCAGCACACTCCAGGGGCTCTCTTACCACACTGCACACGGGGGAATTCACCAAGACTGGAGCAGCTGTACATGGCGACCAATCAGCTCCCAGCTTTCCTTTTCAGAGGGCACATTCACATGAGGGCAGCGCCATGAACAGCTGTTTGTTAAGGACTCATTCCCACCATGTGCAGAGACCTGTGTTATCCCACACTGCTCTCCACACAGTTGTTTTCTATGTGCCCCATTCACACACTGGTATTGATGTGATGTGCGGAAAAAGGCAGCATGTCTGCATTACTGCGCTGAATGGCACCGAATGTCACTGCACCCTCACCGCATGACACTGCGCCCTCACCGCATGACACTGTGCCCTCACCGCATGACACTGTGCCCTCAAACCGCATGACACTGTGCCCTCACCGCATGACACTGTGCCCCTCACCGCATGTCACCGCATGTCACTGCGCCCAGGGGCAGACTGACAAGTCATGGGGCCCCCGGGCAATAGGGGATCATGGGGCCCCTGTGTCCTTGCCCAAACTCAAAAAAGCCTATGAAAAAGGTACCAGGGGCATCTCATTGGGCCCTCTACTGACCCCGGGCCCTCGGGCAGTGCCCGAGTTTCCAAATGGTCAGTCCGCCCCTGACTGCACCCTCACCACATGTCACTGCGCCCTCACCGCATATCACTGCGCCCTCACCGCATGACACTTCAAATAAATTGCAGGCATTGCACTAGCCTGCACTGTGGACCATCCATAGCTCTCTATGGAGCAGAAGGTGTCGGGACATGATCCTAGTGTACGCTAAGCCCCGGTTCACATACTGTATATGCGGCCCTGCAGGCCACGGTTTGCATGGACACAAGAGCCCAATCATTTGAAGTCCCTGCACTTCTAAAAATGCAGCCCACGTGGGAACCTCGCTTCTCAGTACGGTTGCGATTTCCAGTGCGGGCAGTGTGCCATTAGAACTAATGGCACCTGCCTGCGGGTCAGCATTCGTGCAGATCCGCAGCAGTACCACCCGCACATATGTGAACCAAGCCTTAAAAGAGATGGGTAACGGATTGGATGATAGTCGGGTGGAAATGGACAGGCGGTCCATCTCCATCTGACCATCCCATAGAAAACAGTGAGCTGTGTCTGTGTGCGCTCTACAGCAGCAACAGAGCAAAAACACACACCTATCATCCGCTTGCTCAGCAGGGATCAGCAGAGAGATCAGCCGCCGAGCAAGCAGATCCACTGACAGGTCCACCCCATCTAAAAGGGCCTTAGGGCCAGTTCACACATTCAGTCATTCCTGTGTGATTTGCATGCAGTTCTGTGCAGTGCAATTTTGAATGGGCTGAAATCACACTGCACCAAAAGTAGTGCATACACTACTTCAGCAAGCTTACTGCAATCACATCGCATGGTACTGCTTCACCATGTGATCAGGTGTGGTCAAATGCACTGTGTTTGGTGTGTCAAAGCGGAGCTCCACCCAGAAGGGAAATTTTCTACTTTAAGGCTTTGTCCCCAGCTCCGTGTTAAGGATTGGCACCTTTGGGGAACAGGTACACGAATTTGATAGGTGCGATTGGAAGCGGAAATTGTCCTCCCCCCTCCCTCCCCGTAGTCTCCTGGAACATATGACAGGTCCCAGAAGATTATGGGGCCATTCACAAAGCAGTGGGCACCCGGCTGTGAAACCCCGAAGCTGTCACAGCCGGGTGCCACACTGAAGATGTCGGCACCAGGGAGAGAAGACTGCCGATGAAACCAGCCTTGGTGAGGACACTGCTGGACTGAGAGTCAGGTAAGCGTTTGTGTTTTAAAAGTCAGCAGCTACAGTTTTTGTAGCTGATGATGTTTATTTTTTTTTTATTCAACTGGAACTGCACTTTAACTTATTGACACCCACTGCAGATTGCAGACACTGTGCATTTTGAACATGGTGCAGGAAATGCACATAGAACGTAGGTTTGCCACTGGCTCTCACACCAGATATAGTCTAGTACACTTTTATTCTGCATCAAGAACGCATGCACAGTGTTTTCCATGTATTTCAATGGCCCTACTTCACACCAGTTGCAGTGTGTTTCAATAAAGTCAGCAAAAGTAGAACCCGCTGCATTTTTTTTGTATGGAACGCATCTGGAATGCAGCAAACGCACTAAAAATGCACCGGAATGCACACTATCCTGAGATTTTGCAAGAGTAAAAATAAAAAAGAGGGAAAAAAACGCATTGGAGAGCATTGAAAGCACATCAGCAGCACATGTAAATGCCTTAAAAATGCTCTGGAATGCACATTGTCCTGAGATTTTGCAAGTGTCAAAATATAAAAAGAGGAAAATAAAGTACCAGAACGCATTGAAAATGCATCAACAACACATGTAAACATATGGAAAAATGTACCTGGAACACAGAAAATTCACTGTGAACTAGTCTTAAAAAACAGGTTAAATGAGGGGTTTAGTTATGCTTTAAGGCAGGGGTGCTCAACCTGTGGCCCATGGGCTACATGTGGCCTTCAGAGCCCTCTGCTGTGGCCCTCACCCTTAAAACTGGTAGGCACACGTGTTATATCCTGAGGGTTTGCTGTGCTATTTGAAAGCACACCAAATCTCCAGAATGCAGGAGTTTTGTTGTGGTTCCAGAAAGTGCACCACACCGGCAAGATCTAATAGAAGTCTATGGCAAAGCGCAGCAAACCTGCAGGAAAGCCACAGGTGCACTGTGCGTGCAGCTGCAGTGTGGGTAAACCATAGTGCATCAGTGGGAAAGCAGCCTTTAGGCTGCATTCACACTTGAGCATTTTGTAGCTTGAAGCTCCAAAAAAGCTCAAACTTAAAAAAATTAATTGTTCTCTATGGTGCCAGTTCACACCTGATCACGGGAACAGGCACCATAGAAAATAATTGATTTTTTAAGTTTGAGAGTTTTTGGAGCTTTGAGCTACAAAATGCTCAAGTGTGAATGCAGCCTTAGGGGGCTCAGGACAGTAAGGGCTCATTTATATTTTGTAGTTTGAGGGAGGTAAAGCCTCACATTTGAGATGTGTTTTTACCACCACCACCCCAACCATTGGTGTAGTATCAGGGGTCACAATGGTGATCCTGCCCCACGCTGTAGGGAGCCAGTGTAGTCTCCCTGTTTTACAGTTGGACAGGAGGGGTGGTAGGCAACATATACAGGAAACGATCCTCTCCATTTTCCTCTTGCAATCGCTGAAAGCCGGCTTTTCCTTCTTTTTCTCCCAGCATTCAGCAGCTGCAGGAGGAAAATGTTCATTATGTTATTAAAATAAAAAATTCAAAATTTGGAACCATATCACTTAATTGTGGCCAGTGACCAGATTGCCTAAGTGGCCCTCACTCTTCAAAAGGTTGAAAACCCCTGCTTTAAGGTCTCTTTCACGCAGCCATTTTGATGCATCCACCAGCAGATTCATGCAGCTGGAATGACCAGGCGCATTGCAATTGCATTCTAGTGCGAGTGTCAGTGATAAATTAATCATTGACAATCGCACACCCTGAAACAGATCGCAAAACGCAATGTGATTGCCAGAAATCACATTCCCATGGGTGAGAACACGCATGCGATGTGATTCAGGTGCGGATTTAAAAAAGGGTCCTGCATCTTTTTGGTGCGGTTGTGATGCGATTTGAGCCATGCAAAATGTATGGCACAAATCGCACCGCACAGACATTTGCATGTAATTCACACAGCAATGCGGTTTGATTCCTGTGTGAATTACATCCGGTGTCCCACACAATATAGTGAGAACCCGGGCTAAAGGAGGCCTGACTCCTTCATGACCACCCTTAAATGTGGTGTCAAGGTAGTGGACTTTTTTCCTTGGTGTCTCATATACAGGTGAAACTCAAAAAATTAGAATATCGTGAAAAAGTTCATTTATTTCAGTAATGCAACTTAAAAGGTGAAACTAATATATGAGATAGACTCATTACATGCAAAGCAAGATAGTTCAAGCCGTGATTTGTCATAATTGTGATGATTATGGCTTACAGCTCATGAAAACCCCAAAACCCACAATCTCAGAAAATGAGAATATTGTGAAAAGGTGCAATATTCTAGGCTCAAAGTGTCCCACTCTAATCAGCTAATTAAGCCATAACACCTGCAAAGGGTTCCTGAGCCTTTAAATGGTCTCTCAGTCTGGCTCAGTAGGAATCACAATCATGGGAAAGACTGCTGACCTGAGAGTTGTGCAGAAAACCATCATTGACACCCTCCATAAGGAGGGAAAGCCTCAAAAGGTAATTGCAAAAGAAGTTGGATGTTCCCAAAGTGCTGTATCAAAGCACATTAATAGAAAGTTATGTGGAAGGGAAAAGTGTGGAAGAAAAAGGTGCACAATCAGTAGGGATGACCACAGCCTGGAGAGGATTGTCAGGAAAAGGCCATTCAAAAGTGTTGGGGACTTTCACAAGGAGTGGACTGAGGCTGGAGTCAGTGTATCAAGTGCCACCACACACAGACGGATCCTGGACATGGGCTTCAAATGTCGTATTCCTCTTGTCAAGCCGCTCCTGAACAACAAACAACGTCAGAAGCGTCTTACCTGGGCTAAAGAAAAACAGACCTGTTCTGTTGCTCAGTGGTCCAAAGTCCTCTTTTCTGATGAGAGC